GGGGTGAAGCGACTTGCCCAGTGTCATACAGCTAGTAAATGTCAGGAGTGTCAGGTCCTCCAGGCCAGTGCTCTATTCACTGCACCACTTAGCTGCTCCAAAATCAATCGTATTTTACTTTCTTTTGGCAAGGCAATGGAGGTTAAGTGACCTGCCCAGGGTCACAGAGCTAGTGTCAAATGTCTGAGGCCTACCTGAACTCAGGTCCTCCTGACTCCAGAGCCAGTGCTCTAGATTCATTGCGCCACCTAGCTGCCCTGGGGGGGACATTTGTAGATGAGATTCATGCCTTAAGAGGCTGGACCAGGTGAGTTCTTGTTTCCTTTATTTCCTAGAAAGAGACAGTAATTGAGTTGAAAGGAGCTGGCATTTGTGGATTTTATTCACAAAGGGTAGGGGATGATGGTGTCATCTGTTCCTACTTAGAGGTTCTTCCTCAGGTATTACAATTCTAGCTTTGCCAGTTGGGATTTCTTTTCCCTTCTAGAACTGCATTTAGTTTTTATTCTGAATTTAACAAATAACAAATAGAATGACCAGTTTGCCTTTTTTTATCCTTTGTTTCGCTCCTAAACTTCAAGCAGTTGGAGGAATGAATAGCTCAAGTAGCAGTGATAAACAATAGTGAGAGTGATGGAGATACTGACTAATTCAGCCCAGTGACCTTTCATCTCTATTTAATAGGGAAACAAGCACCTCAGCTATGTATGTGGGTTTACTCCGGAGTGGTGGTACACGTGTGTGTTGTGGTGGAAAGATGTGGGGCAAGCACTGGTTTCTGAAACATCAATGAAAGTTGAAAGCCCAAATGAGAACATATATAAAATGCTACATAAATAAAAGCATTATTGTTATTATTATTAAAGGTATCCATTCCCTATCGGGTAAGACTCTTTCTCCTGTTTTCCTATCTTCCTATTTTCCTTGGGGAAGATGATTTTCCTTTAAGTTTCTCCTAATCTTTAATCTGCCTTCCTTCCAACAATTAAACTTTGAGAATGCCTCTAATAATAATTGATATTTACATAGTGGTTTGTAATTTACAGAGCACTTTACCTCTTTTGTCTCACGTGACCTTCTTTGTTACTCACGGGGCAGATACCTGTGAAGAGGTATCCCCATTTTACAGATGAGGAACCTGAGCCCCAGAGAATGACTTGCCAAGAGGGAGCTTGGCAAAATTGCTCTGTTATGGTCTCTCTTCTCTTGGAATACTCTCACTTTTCCTGATTTCTTCAGCTCCCAGGGGTTCAATTATCACCTAGATGTTGATGACACCTAAATCTCTATATTCATCCACATTCTCTCTCCTGAGCTACAGTCCTGCATCACCAGAACTCTACTGGACATTTTAAACTAGAAGGCCTGTAGTCATCTCAAAATCAACATGTCCAAAGCAAAACTCCAAAGCCATTTGTCTTCCATATTTCTATAAAGTGCACCACTGTCCTTCCAGTCACCTTTGTTGTCATCTACATCTCAATCTCACTCTCCCCATTTATCCTATCATTGCTAAACTGTTGTTTCTACCTCCATAACATCTCTCTGGTACACTCCCTTTTCCTCACTTATACAACCACCACCCCAGCTCAGGACTTCATCATCTTACCTGGACTATAGCAATGCTATTTATTGGCCTATTTCTCAAGCCTCTCCCTGCTAATCCATCCTCCATAGAGCTACCAGAGTGCTTTTCCTTAAAACATAGATATGATTATGTCAGTCAATACACACTTATTAAGGCCTGCTATGTGCCAGGTACTGTACTAAGCACAGAAAGACAAGCCCTTGCCCTCAAGGAGCTTAAAATCTATGGAGGGGAAGATAACACACAAAAGGAAGATTAAAAGGATTGGGGGGGGGATAGATAATATAGGAGAAGTCCAAAGGAGTACAGCTAGATGGGAAATGAAGAGATGGCTGGCCTGGACACCCTTTTTAAATAGAGGTTTTAGGAGGATCACTCCATTACTCCCTCCAATCAGAGGAGTACCCAAGGACAGAAGGTATTGATGACGTGTGAGTAGTTAATAAATTCTGATGGCTTCTTACCACCTCTATTAAATATAAACTCATCTGTTTGTCATCTAAAGCTCTTCACCACCTGGCACATGCTACTTTTCCAGTCTTAGTACACATTACTTTCCCCCATCCACTCTACAATCCTACCAAACAGCCCTTTTTGCTGTTCATCATACACAAGCTTGGAATGCCTTCCCTCCTCCCTTTAGCCTTTTAGAATACCTCCTGGTCTCCCCAGCTCATTGTTCCTTACCCACCTGGCCTTTCCAAGATTACCATATATATGTATGTGTACACATACGTAAATTTCTTGAGAACAGGGACTACTTAGCTTTTTGCCTGCCACTTAATATTCCCTGCCTCTAGGTGTGAACCATCTACTTGGAAAAGGAGGAATACACCAGGGTTCACAAATAAAGTAAATACAGTGTATAAATAAAATAAATACAAGTTAGTTTAGGGGAAGCACCAACTGGAGGAATCAGGAAAGATCTTTTTAAGGAGGTGACAGTTCAGCTGAGCCTTTAAAATCATCTTGCAATTCCAAGAAATAGAGGGGAGGAGGTGCATAGGGAACAAAGTCAAGGAGGCAAAAGAAGGTGGTCTGCTGGATAACTTAACAAGTAGATATGTCATTTTGACTGTAGCAGAAGGGTGATGTCAGAACTATGTTTTAAGGAAATCACTTTGGTAATGAGTGGAAAATGGACTGGTGAGGAGAGAGATAGGAGGCTGTTGTAATGATCCAGGCAAAAAGTGATGAGGACCTTTATTAGGTAGCAGTTCTGTGAGAGAAGATGGAGAGGTGAGGTATTGAGAAGGTAGAATTGTTGAGGTTTAGGGGTGCTGGGACCCCAATATCACAACACGCAGATTCTGCCTGAAAGAATTAGACCCAAGCCTTCTTTCAGCCAAAGGCCAGGTTTATTAGAATATCCGTCATGTTGGGAAGACTTAAGGAGTCTGAATGTTAGCGAGCTATTGGCTACACTGTAAGAATGTAGGCACCTTAATGGAGTCAAGATGGACCTTATATACAGAAAGACTGTGGGAGGGATCTAGGAGCGGCTAAGTAGTTTGAGGTGACTGGAGGAGGGGTCTAAGGAGGATCTGGATGGGAGTGGCCAATAAACTGGGGTGAACAGAAGTCCTGGGACCTGGACCACGTGGCCAAGGGAGAATGTAGCCTAGCCAGGATTAAAGGTGGGAAATGGCCAGGAGCCATAGGGAAGTAAGACAATGGAGGGTTAGGCTAGGTTAAGGGTAACAGAGAATTGGGAGATTGGGTGTAGCCACAATGAAAGGCCAGTTGATGGGATTATAGTCTTAGGGAACCAGATTTGGCCATGTGGGAAAGTCCAGGGTTTTTCCTTTTTGGGGTTACAGATCCCAAGCCCATAAATTAACAAGGCTAGGCAGTCAACTGATTAGTGGTAGGGCAGTTGGAGGAAAGAGTCCAGTATGAACCTAAATTAGGAACCTGAGTAACCAGAAGCGCAGTGATGCCCTAGACATCAAGGAAAAGGGAAGATAATGAGTTTGCCTGTCATCATCAAGGGTCATAGAGGGAATCTAATTAGACTGAAGGCCTGAAATTGGTTCTGTTATTTCTTAACTATCTTAAGACAAGAACATACTGAGGATGTGAAGGGGGAGAAGGGAAAATTATCTTACATAATCAGGGTGAGCAAGTAAACATCTATACATACAAGGAAGAGAAGGCTGTGGGAATGATGGCTAACATTTGAACCTTACTCTTATCTGAACTGGTCAAAGAAAAAATACACACATAGTTGGGTACAAAATACAACTCACTCATTAGGGAAATGGAAGAAGGGAGAATTAGTGGGAGAGTAGTGGAAGGGAAGGATTAGACTTAAGTAAAAAAAAAATTCTAAGAATGTGCAAAAATATTTGTAATCTCTTTTTGAGGTGGTAAAGAATGGAAACCTGAGGAATGACTGAATAAGTTATGGTATATAAATGTGATGGAATATTATGGTGCTGTAAGAAATGATGGAGATGGTTTTAAAGAAACCTGGGAATATTTATACTGACTGATGCAGAATTAACAGAACCAGGATAACAGTTCATACAACGACAGCAATATGATAAAAACAGCTTTTCCTAAATTCCTAAAGAATTAGGAATTGTTATCAGTGTAATAATCAACTACATTTCAAGAGAGCTAATGATGGAACATGCTACCTATCTCCTGATGCAGAGGTGAAAGGGCTCAGAGTACAGAATGAGACTTTTATTTACTTTTTGATATGTCCAATGCAGAAAATTGTTTTGACTATACCTATGTATAACAGGGGTTTTGATTTTCTTTCATGCCCAATTGAGAAAAGGGTTGGTCGGGAGGGGTTGGGAGTGGGGTGCGGGGAAGAGGGAACAGAAGGCAAATTTTTGCTGATTTTAAATATATGTGTATTACTTTCTTTAAAAGAAAAATAATAAGTTCGTTTTGGAAATTTTCTTCGTGGCTGATATGCACTGCGGACAGAGACTGAAACATCAAATAGGCAACTTCTCCCACTTCCTCTCCCCGTTCCCTGCTTACAGGACCTCACCTCCACACGTGAGATTGGACCATCCACAGTAAAATGGCGGATCCCACCAAGGGACTACAACTCCCATGAGGCTATTAGAGTGAGGGCGGAAATGACCTTGATTCCTTAAAGGCCGTGTTGGAAAAGGGCAGCTGTTCCAGCACAGGAATAATCGGGATAAGGACAGTGAAGTGAAAAACGTCGGCGGGGTGCAGAGCCTGGTGGATGTTTCTGTGGCCACTCCTCATGGTGTTCTCCAAGCATTTTCCGTAGGTACGCTGGGTAATCTAGGGCCCACGAAGCTTAAGGGAAAAAAGACGGCCGCCATTGTTCCTTTCCTGGGAAACTCCGCCCCACCGGCGGGACGGACACGTGAGGGATTTAGGACGGAAGTGACGACACGGTAGCATTGTTAAATAAGACGCGCGAGAGGCGTTGTGTCTTTTCTTCTTAGCGCCATCTTGTCGAGTGAGTGGGTTCTTCTTTTTCTCCCTCATAGCTGGGCTCCACAATCCGTAGCCATCCGGACTCGGTGTTTGCCACCCGTCCTCCAGACTAACCTTGTTGTTTTCCTCTCTCCCCACAGCTTCCATTGCGCCATGAGAGCCAAGGTAAGTGGGGCTGCCTGTGCCTCTGGGGCAGAGGAGTCGCCGGGGAGCGAGGCCTGCCTGGCCTAAGGGGAAAGCGGGGGGAGGGAGCGGCCTGTGGCCTGGCGTTTTGTCGTCCAGGGTCCGAGAGCCCCAGGAGCTCTGCGGGAGGAGTAGAGGAGAAAAAGTAGGAAGAGGTAGGAAGGCAGAAAAAAGGGAGCAAGAGGTGGCTGGGTCAGGTACTGCTGTGGACTTGGAGGGATGGGGAGGCAGTGATCTTGTTAGACCTGGAGTCTCAAGATTTGGTGCTTATTGAGTTATGTTTATATTCTCAAGTCAGAACGCTGGGTTGGGACGAACAGTATAGCATGTTTATCGTAACCAGATGAATGCACAATGCACTGAGCTTTCTGGGGTAGACTTGGTTTCAAAGAGAGAAGATAAATTTTTTTAACAAAACTTTAGAATGAGAAAGGATCATGCGCCCGATTTTATTTTGCAAAATGTAGGTGTTAAACATAGGAGAAGCAGTGTGGACTCAGTTGCTTGTTTGGGGGACTTAACATTGTTATTGGTACTAACTGACTCTTATTTTACTCCGGCTCGTTTTGGACTACAGTGGAGGAAGAAGCGAATGCGTAGGTAGGTAGAGTTCTTAAGAATTCCGGAGGGTTGAGGGTTGGATGTGGTTAACAAGTTTGCAAAAAGAAGTCGTTGGAATGAAAAAAAAAAACCCACGACTTTTTAATCCCGAAAAGAAAGTTGGAAACAATAGGTTAATTTGATTGCATTTTTTTGTCCTAGGGTGACTGCCGTCACTGGGAACAAAAATAATAAACTTATGTTTGGATTGCTTTTTATTGGAATGGAGTTGCATACTGACTCCCTGAGATAGAGAAATTGGAGGGCTTACCTGGTTCCCCTTTACAGGCTGAAACGCAAGAGGAGAAAGATGAGGCAGAGGTCCAAGTAACCAGACTGCTGACCACGGAAGCCACAGGAGCAGAGATGGAATGACCCTTGGTGACATACTCAGGAAGGCAGAAACCTTTGGGAGACATCACCCCACCCTACGAAGGACTCTACTAGATCTACCACCATCTGAAGACCTCCCTGACAAAAGGACATGCCATCATTTAATGCAGATTCCATCTATCTGCCTCTTGACTTTGTGCCATGGGACGTTTGTCATTCCGGACTGATTATTTTCTTTGTGGCTTAAGTGTAGCGCGCCTGTATAATAAATCCTCACTACTTTCTTGTTTGAAAAAAAATGAGCATGTGTGTTATTTCAAGGTCTTTCTTTTCTATTGCCACTACTATTGCTGAGGGGATATAAAGGAGTTATCACAGGGAGTTGACGTGATTGAATGTTTATTTGATCACATCTTTATCTGAATACGTCTGTGTTCCTCTGCCCTCGTAAGATGTATGGCTGGCTCTGCAGTGAGTGCTAGGTAATGAAAATGGACATCATGAGTTGAGATGCCGGAGTGGGAAGAGGAACTGAGTGGAATTGTGGCTGGAACGGGGGAAAAGCATTAAAAAGTAAGCGCCTCCTGGCATTTTAGGAGGGTGGGGCATGGTGGCTGTGGTTAGGTTAGAACCCAAGGTTGCATGGGGTGCGCGTTACTTCCTGGTTCTCGGGCCGCGCAAAGCGTTCTGTTACCATCGTAACGCGCGGAGCCTGCTGGGAGCTTCCTGGGGCCGAATGCGCCACTACGGCGTCGATCGAGTTTGGTTCCGGGGCTGGTTCCTAGAGCGTCGTCGCTTCCGTAGGAAGCGGAAGTGCCTCTGGGTGGGCGGCTCTTTGTCAGTCGGAGGAGCCGGCAGGCGGTACTGGCGGCTGCGGCGGGGACAGCGGCGGCTCTGGCTGCAGGTGAGGGAGGGGGAGGCGACGCCCGAAGGGGAGGAGCCGGGACTGGCCCCAAGCGCCCGCCTGGTCTGCTCGGCTGCGGGCCGGCCAGCAGGGCCGCTCTGTTAGCCTAGGCCCCTCGATGGGGCTTCCTGAGCACAGGTACTCACTCCCCTTGCCTCAGCACACCCCTCTCCCTGCCCCGTGACGTCACGGGTCCCCGGTCTTCCAACTGGGGCCCTCAGCTAGTGGCTCAGCCCGTGCCCGCCGGCCGCCCGTGCGTGTGCGCGGCGGGCTGAAGAGCCCCCAGGGCCCTTGCTCTTACTTTCCCCCAGCCAGCTTTGGCCCGGCTCGTTCTCAGCAGCTTCAGGCCAGCCTTCCACGTCCACGCTGTTTTCCCCGACTCCTCCCAGCCCAAAGTTCTGCTTTCCCACGCGTGTTGTCTTCACCTCCACATTTTGTGACCTCCGATCCCGTCTTGTCCCCATACCCTCTTCCTATCAACATCACCTCCCTTTGACAGGTAGGAAACAGAGCAGAGACCCTGGAGCCTAAGGGACCTGGCATCCTAAGTCAAGACTTCAGAGTGCACACCCCAAAAATCCTGCTACCCTATTGGACTCTGCAGCTTCACGGAAACCCTTAGGCGTCCACTAAGGCTCTGTCACCTGCTCAGATCTCATCAGTGATGTGGAAGTGGATACCTGCGACAGCCCCAGACTTTACCTGAGATAACTTAGGTATCTATCCCGGGAGAGTTGTGAGGGGAGTTGTCTCCTGATCTTTCAAGGGATGTACAGTGAAGATAGGCTTAGGATGGCTATTGTCTAGCTGCCTGATGTCACTTTCTTTTTAGTTCATTCAGAGTGCTTGCCATCTCTTTCAGCAACCATTTTATTACTCTTATTATTTCTAGATTCTACTTCCATAAATGCAACCATTGTTGCCCCATGCGTCATGCTGCATGTTGGGCCAGTTATGACCTTATTGGCCTATTTGAAGGAGGGCTAAGGAAGGAGTCAGGGTTAAGAATAAGTTGGGCAATGGAAGTAAAAGCAAGAGAGGCTTCACTGATTCAAGGGAAAAGAATGGTGGTGTTGCCATCCCTGAGCAGCAGAGGGGGCCCTTAGCATCATGTGGAAAATACTTGCGGGTAAGACGTGGTAACAGAGACAGCGGTCCTGGGCCAGAGGGTGGGGCAAACAGTAGACTTGATAGTTCAGATGTCCCTTGAGGAAAGAGGAAGATTTAAAAGGATTTTATAGAATCTATAAATAAATAGAAACTTTATGAGTGTGAGGAGTAGCCTGACTTAGTGTTAAGTCAAACCTCTCATGAAATCCATCTGAGCAGGGGTAGGATTTTGAGGAGTAGGAGGTGAGAAGGGGTATTGGTGGTGGAGGAGGAGGGACAGAAAAAAGGTTTCTATGAAGTTGACAGGGTTCAGATTAACTTTCTCCTTCCATTTTGGCCTTGTTTCCCAAAAAGCTTTTTATCCTGGGGGTGGGGAAAACAGCTGCTGAATCCCTCTCCTCCCCGTGTAATAGACACCCAGAAAAGTTTAGGGGCTTCCCAAGCTGGTGACACTTCTCCCTTTGTCCAGGGTTCCAGAAAGTCTGGAGGTTTGGAGTATAGAAGCCACCCCCCACTTAGGGACATTTGGGAAAGGTTCAGAGTAGATCAGAACATTAAAAATTAAGGTTGTGCTGCTATTGTCCTTTCCCTAGTGCCCTCAGTATCCTCTCTCCAGCTCCTCACACACACTCCCGCAAAGCTTATTCAAACACTTATGAAAAGTTTTGATTTCATTCCAGTGACTTTAATAAGGTCAGTGAGAGGGGGAGGCAAAATCCTACACTATCCTCTTCAGCTAGCCATCATTAATCAGCAGGTGGGTGGCTTAACTCCCCCCCCCTTTTTTTTTCCTTCTCCCCTGCCCAAAATAAGCAAGCAAAGTGAATCACTCCCAACAAGATCAGGTGCACAAGGGGTTGGGCAAGACCTCTCCTGATACTCTTCATACTCCAGCAGTGGCAGCAGTTCCAGTCTGTAAGTATGGTAGGCACAGAATCTACTAGTGGCCCCGTGGGTCAGTCTCTCACTGCCAAGAATAGGGACGAGTAGGGTCCTTTTCCAGGAATCCCTTTATCTGACGCTGCCCTCTTTTTTCCTATTTGTACCCAAGGGTGGCGGAAAAGGAAGAAGCCACTCATTTGGAGTGGGACCAGAATGCCCGACCGAGACAGCTACACCAATGGCACAGGGAGCAGCAATGGAGGCTCTGGAGGTGGCGGCAGCGAGGAGACCAGTGGAGCTGGGTCAGGAGCCAGTGCAGGCAGCTCAGATGCTATCTGCCGGGACTTTCTGAGGAATGTGTGTAAGCGGGGCAAACGCTGCCGTTACCGCCACCCAGACATGAGTGAGGTCTTCAACTTGGGGGTGAGCAAGAATGAATTCATCTTCTGCCATGACTTCCAGAACAAAGAGTGCAGTCGTCTGAACTGCCGCTTCATCCATGGCTCCAAGGAGGATGAGGATGGCTACAAGAAGACAGGTGAACTACCCCCACGACTAAGGCAGAAAGTGGCAGCAGGCCTGGGCCTCTCTCCAGCTGACCTCCCCAATGGCAAAGAGGAGGTTCCTATCTGCCGGGACTTTCTCAAAGGGGATTGTCAGCGTGGAGCCAAGTGCAAGTTCCGCCATCTACAGCGGGATTTTGAGTTTGAAGCTCGGGGTGGGGGGGGCACTGGTGGAGGGGGTTCTGCAGGTCCAGCTCCCACCAACCGTCGCCATGATCTTTATGACACATATGATCTTTCGGACCGGGGCTTTGAGGACCATGAGCCATGCCCCAAACGTCGTCGGGGAGGGGGTGGGTGCCCCCCAGATGGTTCCCACTTTGAGACATTTGAGTACAGCCTGGCCCCACCCCGGGGATTGGAGTGCCGTTTGCTAGAAGAAGAGAATGCTATGCTCAGGAAGCGGGTGGAGGAGCTAAAGAAGCAGGTCAGCAACTTGTTGGCCACCAATGAAGTCCTGTTGGAGCAGAATGCCCAGTTCCGTAACCAGGCCAAGGTCATGACCCTGAGCTCCACAGCACCAGCCACAGAACAAACGTTGGCACCAAGCGTGGGCACTGTCACCAACTACAACCATGGAATTGCCCAGACACACACCACACTCAGCAGCCAGGCCCTGCAGCCTAGACCTGTGTCCCAGCAAGAGCTTGTAGCTCCTACAGGTGCACCCGCTGCCCCACCAACTAATGCAGCACCTCCCACAGCCCCTCCACCACCACCACCACCCCCTCACCTGAACCCAGAGATCGCACCACTCTCAGCTGCTCTGGCCCAAACAATTGCCCAAGGCATGGCCCCTCCTCCAGTCTCGATGGCCCCTGTGGCAGTGTCTGTCGCCCCTGTGGCTGTTTCAATGGCCCAGCCGCTGGCAGGAATCACAATGAGCCACACCACTACCCCCATGGTGACTTACCCTATTGCCTCACAGAGCATGCGCATCACTGCCATGCCACACTGACCAGGTCGCTGGACACTTATCTGATACTTCCTCCCTGGCAAAGAGGGTGGGAGAAGAGGGCTTGTTCGTCTCTTCTCTTCGTGTGCATAGAAAGGAGCTCATGAGAGAATGAGGATAGCAGACCTACCGGTATTGATTGGTGTTCTAGAAAAGGTGAGGGAAGGTTAGATTTTCCCCAGCCTCCCAAGACGCGCACCTTTACAGCTTCCCTCAGTCCAAGCCAGAGGAACCTAACAAGGGAGCAAGGGACTCTCCTGGCAGCCTGGGAGAGTCAGGGATGACTGAAGGGCTTTTGTGTTCCCAGAAACACTTGGCTCATGGGCTGTTGAGCTCTCAGACACTGCCCTCCGCTCTGCTCTCCCCCATACCCATGGCATAGACTAGCACTGATTTTTTGAAAGTGAGCCCAGACCCTGTAAAGGGAGGGTAATTGGGGTCAAGGAAAGTCAGAATATGGAGCTTTCAGACTCAGAGACTTCGGCCCTTTCTTGATGTGAGGATTCCTCTGGGCCCAGGGTTGAGGAGAGGAATACCAGGAGGCCCTAATGTTTCAGGGCAGTGGGCCAGGGAATTGTTAACCCAGGTGGGGTTAGGAGTCCACAGAGCAGGACCCCACCATTTTCCAAAGAAATAAAATAATTATTTTTAACAAAAGGAGGCACTGGAGACTTACTGGGAGGTTATGTGTGTTGGGAGTCCTGTTTTAAAATCTGAACACAACCCACCTGTGGGCAGTATGGAAATGGCTTTGTAGAGGACAATGAGAAGAGTCGTGGATCCCGGGACTAAAGGCTCTGTGGATCTGTAAAGATTCAAGTTGGGGGTAAGGGGACTGGCAACACATGGTAAGGTTTAAAAATAACCTGTCTGTGTCTTGAATGCAGTGTTATTCCCAGGCAGTCTTGCTAACCAGGGCTCCTAGGGTCATTGGTGGAGGAGGGGCGATGAAATGTATTGCTGGGAAGCTGGGATGGGGTGTTCATCTAGCTGACAGATTCTGCCCTTTCCTCCCTGACTTTGAAATAGCAGGTGCTAGAGAAGTTGGGTGGGGGAGGGGGAGATATCCATGGCTGATGGACTATGCCAAGCAAGGTTTCATTCCCTTTCAAGCTGCATTTGTGACATTGTTTAATGGCCAGTGATGCTTCTCCTTACCTCAGAAGCCTACATTTTGGGTTGTAAGGCCTTGAGTGATATTGTGGTAGATGGGTCATTTCTTATAAGATTAGTCTCCACTATTCAGCTGATCCCTATGCTGTCACCTGTAAGGAGGCCTGAGAAGGAGATTCTGTCACATCCCCTAAGGTTGCCAGTGTGCAGCTTCATTAGTTGGTATCAGCTCCTCTCACTGTTGGTTGAGCTGAAGAAAAAATTGGAAGTGCCCTCTCTTATTGGACATCATGTTTGTAATCAGGAAAGGGTGAGTTTGGTTTCTGGTCTATTTTAATTTTCCTGTGGCATCTTTTAGGGCCTTTAAAATAGACCAGAACCACTGATTCCTCCTTTCTCTGGTTGTGTCCCCATGGTCACACTCAGGGTCAGAAACCAAAAATAAACATTCCAGCAGATTGGAAATGGCCAGATGTTCCAGTTTTTAAAAATAATAGAATCTGGAAACTAGACCAGTAAGCTTGGCATCAGTCCCTGGAAGAATTCTAAAAATGGATTATTAACAATTGTTTATGAGCACTTGAAAAAGAATATGGTGTACACCAGGAGCCAGCATGGGCTCATTGGCAGGGTGATGTTCCTGTCCTGTTAATCTCTTAACTCTGGTTACTCCCCACCATCTGCCTTCTCTGCTCCTGCTCACAGGCAGTGCAGTTTCTGAAGGAAGTCACAAAACTAAGCTGTCTCCCCCACAAATATGTGCTTTTCAACTCAATCGTCACTGCTTCACACTCAACACCAGTCCTTTCACTTTTCTCTCTTTTTTTTTATGCTCCCTATCAAGTTTTCCCAAGCAGCTGTTCTAAACCTCCTTTATCCTCAAGTACTTGTTCTCAAGAAGTGTACCTTGTTTATAGCTTTCCTGAGAAGACTGAAGCTATCCATCTTGACCTCTCCTTCATCTCCACATCCCTCTGTTCTCTATCATTCTTTGATGGAGTGTAAGGACCTTGAGAGCAGGGATTGTTTTTCTTTCTTTGGTATTTGTGTCCCCAGGCACCTGGAACATAGACAGTAAATGTTTGTTGAGTACTTGCTTCCTTCTAGAAATAAGATGCACCTTCTTGCCAGAGTTAACCCCTCTACTTATGCCCATCTCCATGTTTCCTTCACTCTTCCAAAACCATGCTCACTGATCCATCTCCTCATTGTTTCATCTTCATTCTCATTCCTCTGAACTTGCTCAGGTATTCTAATGAAAACCCTCCTTTGACCATACACAGTTCTGTAAACTTCCTCTCTCTCTCCTGTTCAGTGCTAATCCAGGAGGAAAAAAAAGTCTACACTTAATATTGACATTTTCTTCCTTCCTCAATACCCATTCCCTCCTCAAGCTGCCTTCCGACTGCGCCATGGTACTGAAACTGCGTTCTCTCAGGTCACCAGGGAACTGATTGCATAATCTAACTGCCTCTCAAGTCTTCATCCTCCATGCTGCAGCATTTGACATTACTGATCATTGCCTCCTCTATTCCCTTCTTTTCTATGTCATTCTCTCCTAGTGGCTCTTCTACCTTTCTGAGTTATGTGGCTGACTTCATCACTGCTTCTTTCTCCTTCACCCTTTTAGGTGTGTGTGTCTCTCAAGATCCTTTTTGGCCTCTTTTTTCTCTACATACAATCTCATGGCAAATTTAATTCCTGGGTCTTCCAATTATTGCTTCTCTGAAGATGACTTCAGTTCTGTATCTGCAGTGTACGTCTTCCCTTAGCTAAAAATACTCTCCATTTCCTAGACCAAGCATTCTTAACCTTCTTTTGTGTAATGAACACCTTTGACAGTGTGTTGAAGGCTACTCACCCCTTTTTGGAGGAGTTTTTAAAGGCATTAAATAAAATAACATAGGGTTACAAAGAAAACCAATTATACGGAAATAAAGTTGTCAGAATGTTTTAAAAACAAGTTCATGGACCTCCCAGATTAGGAAACCATCCCTATCTTAGACTCTTCCATGCCCCTCTGACCTTTTTATGGATTCAATCATTTTCTTCTTGGTATTATATATACTTATTTGGGTACATGTCTCACCCTGTCTTATTGTACTAGAATACTCTCTCCTTGAGGGCAGAGTCTTTGTAATTTCTCTTTCTGAGCACCTAGCAAGCAAGTCTTAGCACATGGTAGGTGCTTAATAAATGATTGTTGAGTTGAGCTAAAAACAAGTTACGTTAAACTAACCTTTTTCTATTTTGGTTAGGATACCAGATTAGTAGAGCAGACACAGTATTTTGCTTTTATCAAGGCATTTGATATTCATAACAGTCTTGTGGATAGATTAACTGGAGAAATAGGAGCTGTACATGATAACATTGTTTTGTTGGGCGTATCCAAAGTGAAGGCATTCCTCAGGACTCTGTTCTTTTTCAGTCTTTCCATCAGTGACTTAGATAAAAAATATTAATTAACAACTGTGTAAATGACACAAAGTGAGAAGGAATTGCCAATTTGTTAGGTGATAGAATCAAAACTAAGGGTTTTTTTTTTTGACAGGCTAGAATGCTGGGCTGTCTGTCCCCCTGTGACTACGGTGCACTCCTCATCTTTGACCCTTAAAATCTCTACTTTCCTTCAGGGCTCAAATCAACCACCATCTCCTACATAAGGTCTTTCCTGTTTCCTTAGCTGCTTTGTTTTGTTTTTTTTCCCCCCTCATTTTTTTTTTTAGGCAATTGGGGTTAAGTGACTTGCCCAGGGTCACACAGCTAGTGTCAAGTGTTTGGTCCAAGGCCGGATTTGAACTCGGGTCCTCCTGACTTCAGGGCTAGTGCTGTATCCACTGCGCCACCTAGCTGCCCCTTTTGTTTTGTTTTGTTTTGTTTTGTTTTTTCTGTTTCCTTAGCTGCTAATGCCTCATCTCCTCCTCCCTCTACCCCCACTCCGGGGGGAAAAAATACCTTTTATTTTATATATACTTATATGTGTATATTTTGTCTGTAATCCTCCTTGAGGGGCAGGGACAATTTCATTTTTTGTCTCTGCCCCACACCTAGCACAATATTTGGCATACAGTTGGTGCTTAATGTTTATTGACTGAGCCAAAAGATTAAATTTAATAGGAATTCAACAATTAAATGAATATTTACTGAGCATCTCTACTGTGTATAGAGCTCAGTGCTAGACCCCTGGGGAAGTATAAAGTTTAGACAAAACATGGGCCCCACTCTTGTTCAGTTTACAATCTGGCTGTGTGTAACAAATTACTGTAATAATAATAATAATAATAATAATAACAACAACAACATAGCTATAAGAGATGGAAAGGTCATTACCAATTAGGGGATCAAGGAGAAGATGCTAGTTGAGTTGAGCTTTAAAGGACAGGTGAGGAGAGCAGCATTCCATGTTCTGAGAACACCTTCCACAGACAGGAAAATGCAGAGCACATAAGGAAGGTGGCAAGGAGAATGGTTTGGCTAGAATACCCCACTAGAGAGCCATTAGCCATTTGGAGACTCAAGTCTGTAACTCGAGAGAGGCCAAAGTTAGAGATAGAGATCAGAGAGTTGTATATGTAGGATGGTACACATAACAATTACTGAATAAATGCATTTTCATTCATTGTTCCATGATGGCTAATGCTTTGGGAGCAATGAGACTGCCAGGTAAGAGTGTAGAGAAAGAGCAGAACCCATGACAGAACTTTGGGAAACACCCTTCTTAAGAGGTCAGGATGAGGAAAAAAGAGACAGGACTTGTTAAAGGAGTAGGGGAATGAAGACGCTAAAAGAGGAAAGGATATCCAAAAAGTCTTCTGACTTGCCAGTGGCCATTCACAGCTGAACCCCACTGCTGGTCAGCATAGACACTTTGGCTCTGTTAATGACCTAGACTGGCTTGCCTCTCCTTAGGCAGCCTGGTACCCTGTCCTCACCTCCAGGGGGGCTCACCATATGGGTGGAGAAGTTAGTGTGGACGCCTGATGGCCTTTTCCCTACTGCACCTCAGAATTCCCAAACTCAGGCAATCCACCAGCCTCAGGTTCCCCATAAAGAAGTACTACAAGTGTGTGTCATAATGCCCTTGATGACCGTAGTTTTAGTGGAGTGGTGGAGATAGTCAAATCACAAGGGGTAGTGATAAAATGGCAGGACCAAATGATAACTACTTTTAAAAAAATGACCATGATGAAGAGGAGAAAGATTGAGGGAAGAAAAGATATTTGTAGCGAAATCAAAAGTGTAGGAGAGATTAAAGATTCATGAAAAGGCAGCAGGCAATGTGAAGTAGGGAAAGCACTAGACAGCGTCAGGAGAGATCTTGGTTTGAATATCTTAGTAGTGTGATCTTGGCAAGTCACAACCTCTCGAAAATTTCCTCATCTGCGTAATTGAGATAATAATAAAGTGCTATATAAATGTGAGCTACTGTTATGAGGTGAATTCTGGAACAAAGTCATGGAGAAGGCAGGAAGAGACAGAATAAAGGGCGGAGTGATTACTCTTAACAAGAATTTGTTGTACAGTCAAATCCAACTCTTCCTGACCCAATTTGGGGTTTTCTTGGTAAAGATGCTGGAATGGTTTGCCATTGCCTTCTCCAGCTCATTTTACAGATAAGGAAACTGAGGCAAACAGTTAAGTGATTTGCCCAGGGTCACAGCTAGTGACCCAGTCTGAGGCTAGATTTGAACTCTGAAAGATAAGTCTTCCTGATTCCAAGTCCAGTGCTCCATCCATTGCATCACCTAGCTGCCCCCTTCTTTTGATACAGGACAAAAGAATGGGTGAAAATAATGAGAATTTTTAGAATAAAAGAAAGTTGAGGGAGTTCAGACAGCTTCAATCTTCTTTGAGTGAAGTAGGAGGCTACCTCCATCTCATAAGTGTGAGGGGTGATTGGAAGCTTGAGGAGAGAGGGAAAAGTTTGGAGCAATCCCTATTGGAGTTGAGATAGAAGGACAATAAGAATAGAATAAAATGACTGTCAGATAAAACAGTGAGGGCCTATGTGAGCTTTTACACTATAAATGTGTATGAAATAAAATTCACATGCGACATTTTATATGTATGTTCTACATGATGCTTTGTATGTACACTACATAGGACAGTGCAGCTGAGCTGTCCAAACAAGCTCATGCCTCAGAAAGGCAATATTTCTCTGTATTAATTATCTAAGTTACCCATGGAGAGGCACTCTCCTTGAGCCCCTAGCAAGCCTGGTAACCATCTCAGTTCCTCTCCCACACGTCTATAGCCTTCCTACAGGCTGTATTATCCTTATTGGCCACCAGATGGTGCTCAACCTACAAATGCCTAGGGCGCTCCTCCAACGGCCACAGCGTTTCACTTCAAGCATTAAGACCCAGCGTTGGTGGAGTTCAAATTTTAGTCAAAATGACAAATTTTTGAAATCTGTGACTAGCTCTGCCACCCCACATCTGGAATCTCTTCTGTCAATCATCAATACCTCCACTCCAATAGATACAGTATGCAAGTAGTCAAACCACTGTGGCTAAATAACCTAGGGAATATGGTAAAAATGAAAGTAAACAAATTGAGCACTCATCTCCCAAAGCTTCCTCCTAGTTGCCCTCCCAGTTCTTCAAAGAGATAGGAAAAGTTCTCAAACCACCCACACTTACTGATCATGGAAATGTTGTAAGGGAAGAGGGCACATGTGTTCCAGCCTGGAAAGCATCTACTCTTACCCACTGCAGTTCCAGTTACATACTGCAGATCTCTTGCCACCTCAGTTTTCTGAGGCTGAAGATTCAGGGGGAGGATTAGTAATGATTTTGCCTCTTCTTCTTCTAGACCACCAGCAGGTAGTCTTGGGTCTCAGCAACTTTCTCACGTGGTTCAGGTCTAGTGCACCTTGTAGGAGCTTCACCATTCTCTGTTTGCACAGAAAGTAGGAAATCCAGAATCCCAAAAGCAACCGAAAGAAACAGCTACCCAATTCTGGTCCCCAAGGTCCATGTCGTGTCCACTCTATCTTCTTGTCCATTTCAAGTGTAAGATCGGGGCAGTGGATAGAGCTCCTGCCTTGGAGTCAGGAGGACCTGAGTTCAAATCTGGCTTCAGACACATAAGTCACTAGCTGTGTGACTCTGGGCAAGTCACTTAACCCCAATTGCCTCCAAAACAAAACAAAACTCAATATATGTCAAGTGTAAGATCGCTGACTTTCCTGGGAAGGGGAAAGGACAGGTCCTCAGACTCTGTTTCAAGATGAATCATCATCATTATGGGCCAAAAGGTAAATAATCATGTAAGAAGAGTACATACATGGCACAGATGGGCACAGGTTATGCAGATCTTTCTCCAGTAACATTCAGTAGCCTAGGAGCAAGAGTAGAAAAATCAAATCAGGAATTTACCAAGGTTGAAGAATAAAAAGTCAATGGCATCAGATGGGAGAGGACTGTGTGGCAATTTTAGTTCTGTGACTTAGGGTGGTTAGTGGTTCATTAAAGTTCATTGAAGACAATGGAGTCAAGACTAGGCATAGAAGCAAGTTAAGGTGAAGTCAATTTAAAGTGGGTCAAAGGGCCAGAGGGCCTTTGATGAGAAGGAAAAAAGGTAAAGTTTTACAAACTGATCCAACACGTCAATTGTACAAATTTGGACTTCAGATGAAAAGGAGGAGAAGGCAGAAGGGAGGAGGGAGAGCTCTGTCTTGGGAGCAGTTCACATGAAAAAGACAAGGGACAAAAAGACAAGTTCAATATTAATCAACAATATGGTCTGTCTTAAAAGCTAATTCATTCTTAAGCAGTATTCAGGGAAGCAGACGGTCATAATATCACAGACTTAAAACTGTAAGGAGTCTTTGAAGTCATCTTCTGGAACAACTGAGAAGTTATAGCTTACTTCCAGGCCACACAGAAGTATAGTGGAGCCTGGATTTAAACCCAGATCCTCTGACTTCAAATCCAGGACTCTTTTCATTATGCCACAATGTCCTCCTAGTGAAGAGATTTGAAATCGTCATGAGGAATGATTGATAGACTTTGAATGTTTAGCTTGGAGAAGATGAGTGTGGGAGATGGTAGGGAGAGTTCTATTAATAGGAGGTGACAGCCCTATTGTCCTCTGCCATAGACTACATCTATGTTTAACATTGAGTTCAGGTCTGGGTACTACATTTAAAGAGGGATTTTAACCAATGTAAACTCCTTGAAGGCAAAAACTCCCATTTTTGTAACATTTAGTAGGTGCTTAACGAATGTTTGTTGCCTGATTATCAAAGGAGCATGTTAAGGTGGAAATTCCCGGGTTCTATCAGCACCTGATCCCTGATCCCTGGTACCTGCTCCATTGCCTATCACCATCCAACGTCAGACCCTTTCTTTAGAATAATGCTTCATGAGGGGCAGCTAGGTCATGTAGGAGATAGATCACTGGCACTGGAATCAGGAGGATCAGAGTTCAAATCCAGCCTCTGATACTTACCAGTTGTGTGACCCAGGGCAAGTTACTTAACCCTGATTACCCAAAAAGAAGACTACTTTATGGATTTTTAATCTTGTCAACATGGTTACTGTACCTTCTGACCAGGTTGCAACTCCCATATTCCCATAGCTCAGTAAATGGTCTTCAGGAACTGTGTGTGGCTGAAAAAAATCCATCAGCTTTGGGGCAGCTAGGTAGCTCAGTGGATAGAGCATAGGCCCTGAAGTCAGGAGGACGAGTTCAAATCCGGCCTCAGACACATAACACTAGCTGTGTGACCCTGGGCAAGTCACTTAACCTCTATTGCCTCACCAAAAAAAAAAAAATCCATCAGCTTCTGTCTAACCTATTAAGAATGGGTCCTGGGACTACAGACATACCATCAAAAGTCTTTCTTCTTTGGTTCCAGAGCTTGTGGTCTTCTGCTACAAGAACCTGGGATAACCTTCAAACTATAATGAGGCATTGAAGAATGATTTTAGTGGCAATCACAGAATCCTACGTAAAGTATGCTCCATGTGATGTGTTTGCCATCGTGGGTTGTATAAATGCAGCTCAAAGGGTTATGCATAGGATCCTCCATAGCTCCAGACCTGGAAGGGGCTTCAGAGACTCCTACTCTAGTCCAGCTCTTTTTTATAGATGAAGATATTGAAGCCCAGTGACTTGTCCAAGTTTATACAGGTGGTAAGCATCAGGCATACTTATAAATTACAGATTAATTTTTTAATAATCATATAACATGTTATTACAAAGCAAATGTTCATAAATTATCTATTAACAAAAGTTGTAATTCTAGGAAGTTTCAATATTTCCACTGCCCCACTCTTTAGAAACGATACTGCTGGTAAATGGCCACTGCCTCCCTCCCTTCTCCCCTCCACCTTCCCAGTCTTTCCATTACCTCCAACCACCACCAGATGGCACGTAGGCAGTAGGGATGCCAAGGAGAGGCAGGAAGATGAGGTGTTTATGTACCAGATGTCTGCATTGCAGCTTCTGGGCTTGGGTACTTCTCAGCTCCAGCTGGGGGAGGGGACTTGAGGGATTCAGGTTCTCCGTCCCCTTTGCCCATCACGGTGAGAGCCTAATTGTTCCGATGTTCAGATATGAAGGGTTAGGGAACCTCCAGAAGACACCTTATCCTGCAGATACAGTCAGTCTGGGCTAGTGAGTGAGTGTGTGTGTGTGTGTGTGTGTGTGTGTGTGTGTGTGTGTGTGTCTGTGTGTAGGGGGTGGGGGATTGCCTCTTTGTTAAGAGCTTGTTGAGGAATAGTATATCCTTGGCCTCCCCCCTTATTCCAATGCTCACTAGCCCTTACCTTGAGAGCTTCTCCCCTCCCTGCAACAAAGCTGTTTCCTTTTGGAATGGAGCCATCAGTTACATGCAGCCTCCCCCATGACACTCTACCCTGCCCTTTCCTCCTGCTCCAACCTCACTCCTCCTTGGGGGTGTGGAGGGATGGATGACAAGACGTTAGGAAGATGGAAACAGTCTGAGTCGTTAGCAGATTTTGCAGACTAAGTGAAGCTCCCAGATGCAACCAGCCGCAGGGAGTCAGAAAAAAAAAAGGGGAAATAAGAACCCCAGATTAGAGAATTGAGGTTAGGCTATTGGGTGGGGCCAGGTTCTGAGCAGCTCTGATCAAACACTGCCAGAGGCTCAGAGTAGATGAGTAGATGTCAGATAAAATCCACACCTCGAAGAGCCAGATAAACTATCTGCCAAAATGGTGCATCTTCTCTACCACCCAACTCTACTTCTGCACCGAGGGAGGAAAGGAGGGAGGGGCTCAGACCCAGGGCTGTGCCTGATACTCCCTGGCATTACCATCTAATAATGAAACTTGTGCTACAAAGACCTGTGATTTCCTTGGTGTGGGTTCTCTCTCCACAGAGATCTTCAAAACTAAATATCGCTTGATAGATGGTTTTCGATGATTACTGTTAAAAAAAATCAGTCATTAGTCAACATGTTGATGAGCCACTCAAACTTAACTAGGCTGGCCTTCAGCCTACAGGATGAGGACTTTAGCTCTAATGCTTCAATTACCTAGCCATGGTTCAATTGATGGGATATTCTCTCCATCTGTGCAAATCAAAACCCATCCACGTGTGTGGCTGAAAAAAATCCATCAGCTTTGGGGCAGCTGCCCTTCTTGTCCCATAGATTCTCCATAAAGCATCTAAATTACATTTCATGGGTATCTGGGCAACATTTTTACTGGCCATCTGTCATTCCTCACCCTCACCACATAGCCAGCCCACTTCCTTTTCTGATCTTCCTTTTTTTGAATGAAAACCTATTAGTCTAAATAACTGACATTTATAGGGTTTTCCAAAGTACCTACATTACCCCATTTGGGTCTCCAAACTACCCCGGGAGGTAAGTACCTCAGGATTGCTGTGAAGCAAGTACCATGCTAAATGCAATAAGTGATTAGCTTCGTTTTATAAATGAAGGATCCAAGGTCCTTAAGGTTATACAATTTGTCCAGTGTTACCCACCTAAGAATTTTCAGAGATGGGATGCAAACCCAGGTCTATCCTGACTTCAAGTCCAGAGGTCCCACACAGAACTATGCTCTCTCCACCATGCTTCTCACATACATCTCTGGCAGGCCCACCTGTCCACATTGGCATCTTTCATTTCTCAGTCCCCAAATAATCCTCAATTCTCAACACCAAAAAAACAAAAACAAAAAAAATCAACAATTTTTTTTTCTGGGACCTGTGGTTTCACAGATGTAGGGAACTCTTAGGGAAGAAATTTTCTCTACCAATTCAGATGGATACCTTGTATCCATATTTGTTTTCATGTTGTCTCCCCTATTAGATTGTAAGCTCTTGAGGGCAGGGATTGTCTTTTGCCTCTTTTTGTATCCCTAGTACTTAGCACGCAGTAAGTGGTATAGTCAAAGGTACTTTTTTTTACATTGAAGGTATTTAACAAATGTTTATTAGTTCACCATCTTTATTTGAATATAGGCTTTAAAAAAATTATGTACCATTGACAATGGAACTTTATGGCATTGAACTATAAGCATTTGTGTCTAGTAATATAGATTTTTATTGATATCTTTTTGTTTTATGTCACCTAGATTCCCCCCTTAATCTTATCCATACCCTCTCCTAGAGAGCTAAAGCAATTTTTTAAAAGAGGAAGAGAAAAAGATTAAGCAAAACTTGACACATTGAAAAACACATTGAAAAAATATGACATTATATGAAATGTTGTAAATTCATGAACTATGTACTTCTACAAAGAGTGGGAAGTGTATTCTCATATCTCTTCTTTGGGTCCAAGCTTGTTATAATTTCACAACATTCTTCTAAAAATACATTTTTGTGACTATTGTTCTTTCTATATACATTGTTGCAGCCATTGTGTGTATTGTTTTCTTGGCTCTGCTTATTTCACCTTTCATCAGTTAACAAGTCTTTCCAAGCTTCTCTTCATTTATCATGTTCATTGTTTCTTATAGCACAGTAATATTCCATTATGTAAATATATCACAATTTGTTTAGCCATTCTCCAACTACTGAACATCTACTTTGTTTCCAGTTATTTTCTACCAGGAAAACTGCTGGTATAAATATTTTGGAGCCTTTTTTTGTCAAAAGAGTTTTAGTCACTTTTTTCTTTTTTTTTTTTTTGGCCCAGTTGCTTTCCAGAATCATTGTACCAATTTACAGCTCCACCAATGAACCTATCTTCCCACAGCCTCTCCAACATTACTTATTCCCCCCCTTTTTTTTTGCCATCTTGACAATTTATTGGGTGTGAGGTGAAACCTCAGAGTTATTTGGAATTGCATTTTTCTTATTATTGGTGATTTTGAATATTCTTTCATATGGCTGCTAATAGCTTGTGATTCTTCTTTTCAGAATTCTTTGTTCATATCCTTTTGCTACTTCTCTGTTGAGGAAGAGCTTTTAGAAATATAGGAATTTATAAAAAAAAAATTAATGTTGTTTCATACCCTCCTTACCCCTAATTACACCAGACTGTCTGGCACATAGCAGAAACCTAATAAAAACTTGTTGATTGATTTGATTCATCCATATCTTTGCTGCCTTACTCACTATCAATGACAAAGATTTAACCAATTCATTTTCCTTTTGCAATCGAGTCCATTTCTTTCCGAACTGCCAACGGCAGGGACAGAAAGGCCGTCCCTCTATAAAGCAACCCTTCAGAGATTTAAAAGACCATTTTCATGAGCCGCCTTTTCCAGGCTGAACTGTCCCAGCCCTCCATCATTTCTTCTTGGCCCTGATACTGTAGCTCTCCCAGATTTGGGATTAGAGATAATCCAACCTCCTAATCTGACAGTGGAAGTCACAGAGGTAGCAAATGACAATTTGCTAGATTGCAAAACGTTAGGAGTTGAACTGAGGGCAAAGGGCTTCAAATTCAGTGCTCTTTTTCCAGTTCCTCACGCTGACCTCCCCCAGGAGTTGATGGAAAACGAAGATGGTGGCAAAACCTTTCATTCCAGTCTTGATCTCAGAAAGACCTCCTGGAAGCAATGGGTTTCGGCACCCTTGGCTGGAGGATAACGGAAGGTCAGTATCCCCAGCCTATCCCTCCCAACTTATCCATATTTGGGGATAACGGTGTTTCTAAACATCCACAAAACTTTAATTTAGCCAAGCCAGCTCAGCCTAAAACAGACTAATAGTAGGGAAGGGAAGCTCGTCATGGCGTCACACATCAGCCCCACCCATCCCACGAGGGGACACCTCCTACTCCGGCCTCCCCTCTTTAAATTGTGCGCCACGCCTCCTCTTCTCCTTCAGACCAATCAGACTCTTCCCTCCCCCTATCTCCCGGAGCATCCCCTCCCAGTGTTTCATGGCCCAATCAGAGAGGGCTCTGCCCCTCTGGATTCCACGCCTCCCCTCCAGAGGGGCGGGGGCCTGGACATGTGGCTCCTCCCCAGTCTTGGAGCGTGGGCCAATGGGAGCTGTCCGAAAGGGACGTGGTCTAAAGTAGCCGCCCCGCCCCCGGGGTTCTCGGTTTGCTTGGGGGATAGGGGCAGCCAGGCGGGGCAGCGCGGAGCTGGGCTCCAGTGCGGGCGGGCGTTGGCACCATGGAGCGGCCCGTTGGAAAGGATCCCGGCCCCGTGGCCGGCCCCGCTGACCAGATCCCGAGGCGCCAACCAAGCAGGACCCTAACCCAGGGGAGTCGCCACCGCCGCCACAACAGCAACCCGGGGCAGCAGGCGAGGCGCTGGCCGTGCTGAGTTCCTTCGGGCGGAGGCTGCTAGTGCTGGTGCCCGTGTATCTGGCCGGTGCCTTGGGGCTCAGCGTGGGCTTCGTGCTGTTCGGCCTAGCTCTCTACCTGGGCTGGCGCCGGGTCCGCGGCGAAAAGGAACGGAGCTTGCGGGCGGCGCGGCAGCTGCTGGACAACGAGGAGAAGCTCACCGCCCAGACCCTCTACCTGAGCCATCGTGAGCTGCCCGCTTGGGTGAGAGAGCCCTCCGCCCCCAACCTCCTGCAGCCCCTGGCCAGTCCCCCCGGGACCACCCCCGGCGGACTCCTAGAGACTCCCCCCCACCCCACCCCTCCCCTCCATCCTCGAGCATCGCCATCCCCAGGAGAGCAACCCAGACTTCACTCCAACCCAACAGCCCTGCCTTCCTTAACTCTTGCGGGATCCGAATCTCCAGGAATCCTCCACCGCTCCCGCCAGGATTCTTTTCTCCTCCCTCCGCCCCCTTCCAGTGGACACTGCCAAGGTCCTCTAGCCCCGACGCTGTTAACTTTTCCCATTTTCGCTCTCCGGAGCCCTGAACGCTATTCCTACCGCCCCCCCCCACACACCTTGGCACCGTATATTAGCCATGCCACATTCCCCAGACTACACACCACCACCACCACTACCGCCGTGGGTGCCACCTCATCTGCACTCTCTGTGTGGCTCCTTCTTCCTCTCCCCCACGGGTATCTCCGTCACCTTCCCCACTGGCTCTGCTCCGAGGGATTTCCCTGTCCTTCTCTCCTCCCTCCCCCTCCCCCCATGCTGGGACGTTTTAACCTACTTTATTGTATGGCTCTCCCACCCCAACTCTGAGGTTACGAGGACCCAGCCCCTCGGACATTGACCTGTCATGCTCCCCTCCCTCTTTCCTCCTTAGGCATCCCTAACTCCCCGGATTGACCCTCTTTTGTACCTCCCTGTCTAAGCATCGGGCCCCCAGCCTGGACTGCGGTAGTGTTTGTGGTTGGCTGCAGGACGGGGCGGAGGGGGGGGGGGGAAGAGAAGGAGGGGAGAAAGAGAGAGACAGAGAAAGGAAGACAGAGAGAAAAGGAGAGGGGAGGGGGATATGTGCAGATGCTGCAGTGTCTGCTGTCCACACCCTTCCCCTTCTTCTGGCTTCAGCCCCACCCTGTTCTTCAGACCCTTCGTCTGGAAAGGTCTAGAGGTATAGGTGGGGTAGGGTGGGGACCCAGAAATACTCCTTTTCTCTGCAGTGAAGGGACAGACCGGATGTAGCAGAGCAGGCCAGGAGGAGCATTAGCGGGAAACAGAGCCCGAGCTCATAACCAAGCCCTCCCTTTCACACCCCCAGCAGAGTTGCCTTGTCTAGAAGGGAATCAAAGCTAGGCAGACTGAGTGCAGCCAGGCTCCTGAAAGAGTGTGGCTCTGCTCTGAGGCTGGCAGTTTTGAGCTGGAGTTCTGCCCTGGAGCCCTACCCTCTGAGCCAGGACTGGTAGCTCAGTTTCTTCTCCCCACCCCCTCCTTCCAGCGCTCTTTACCAGCTTCAAGTCTCTGCCACTCCCACACCGAAATTGTGGAAACTTCTCCCTACACCCCCCCCCCGGAAAAGGGGGGCCTCGGGCCAATTCCCTTGTTATGTTTAGTTTAACCGTTAGCCTCCCCAGGGGCTATAGGTTGGGAAAATTAAAATTCTAGGTACCCTTCTCATTTTCATCTAGAGTTATAAGGAATGCTGTCCAAAGGAGAGGATTTGTCCTCCTAAAGAATGTACCATCCCTCACCCTAGCAGCTGTGAGTGCTACCTCCCACGCAAAGGAGCCATTAGAAAACAAAGGGGCTCCTGTGCTGCCTGAGCTTTGACTTAGTACCCCTACAAGAAATCACTACTGTCCCTGTCCCAATCCTCTGCATCCCTAGAACTGTACTCCAGGAGTCTTTAGTAGAAGTGAAACTGTGTGTCTGTCTGTACCCACCCTACTCAATAACAACAAAAAAATGTACACAGTTAGTGGGCATCGTGGCACACAGGCATATACAAGTACTTCTTGCCCCATGCTGATACCACACTCACAAGGCATAAACCACAGACAGACCAAGTTCTTCTAATTCAGACATTCTTAACCGGGGGTCCACGAACTCAGAGGGGGAAACATTACGTCTTTATTTCAATGTACTTGATTTACTTTGTAATCCTATGTATTTTGTACATTTAAAAGCATTCCAAGAAGAGTTCCATAGGCTTCACTAAGACTGCCAGAGGGGCCCATGATACAGAAAAAGGTTAAGAATCCCTGGTCTCAGTGGTCCAAATGTATGTTCTTCCTTTCCTCCAGGTCAGCTTCCCTGATGTGGAGAAGGTTGAGTGGCTGAACAAGGTGAGTTTGCACATGTATGGACAGATCCTCTCTGACCAATTGCTGAGACTTTGATTCTCCAGCCAGCCAGGAGGCAATATTGACCCCATCACTACCAGTCCAAACTTAGTCTTGTCCCCAGAGTTTTCAGGGTGGAGGTGGCTATTTGGGGAAGTGGGTTCTCAGAGGGGAGCTAACTGCATGAGGAAGAGATACGATGATCCTCCGCATGACAACTCCTCTGTCATCCCAAGATTGTGGCCC